CCTGCTGCTGGGCTAGCGTCATGCCTGTCCATCCCAAGACATGTGCACTGAAGAGTGGAAAACAGCTGAGATGTTGAAAATAAATACTTTAGGCTGAGACAGGGGACATGCTGTGGCCTTTTTTTCACAGGCAGAGCAAAGCATGCCTGTAATCAAGCCAGTGGTTAGAAGAGGGTACACAGGACTAGCTACTCCAGCTCCTCCTGACTGCTAGCTGTCCATCCACCTCTGTGGACATCTGATTTCTACTTTTTTTTAAATCTTTCTCTCCCCTTATCTATCCGTCTGTCTTCTTGGCTATCCCACCACATGCCTCAGGATCCATGCTTCCCTCCTTACACACGTCTGTGATGCGATTTGCCTTGCTGCCACCCAGTGACTGCGTCGCATTTATCCCCCACCCGTCCTGACTTGGGACAGTTCAGTGCTCCTGAGGCAGCTCGTGTTCCCAGGAACACAGCTGTGCAGCTGTTTGAAATTCCCACTTTGATGCCTAAAATTGGCCACTAAAATTCCTTGTCATACATCCCACATCCCCACACCCTGAGCAGACTTGCGGACATCACTGCAGACAGCACCAACTCATCCACTGCACACATACTAAATACCTCCCAGGAATGGGAAAGTCGATAAGATTCTCTCTGCAGCCCATTGCAACCTCCATACACGTACTTCAGCAACGCACTGACCTCTCTTCAGGGCTGGGCAGCCTTGGACAGCAGCTCCTCTTGTTCTTGCACTTAATTCTGACTTCAATTAAGGCATCTGAGAAGGCGTTACACCTCTGAGCTCAGAAGCTGGAGACTGTGCAGGATGCCGTGATGATCTGGCTCTTCCAAGGACTCCAATTCATTCAGAAGATTGGATGAGTGTGCGGAATTTCACCTTAGTTTCTTCTTTGCTGGGTTCCGAGTTGGTTTTTTCTCTTCTGCTCCTAAAAGACATCCTCGCGAAGAAAAGGCAGTCTGCGACTGAAGTCTTAATACATTATCTCTGTCATCTTGCAGGCTTCCCTACAGCCTCTTCAGACCACCTAGGCAAATGGTTGCCAAAGCCCAGGAAACCGTAGCAACTTTCTTTTGCCTTCGGAGATGCTCGGTACCTCTGCCCATATTTCCCAAGCCCCATTACATCCATTGCCTTTCTCGTTCTCAGATTTCCAGCTTATGCCTACCAATGTTATGCAACCCCTCATTACGATCGGCGACACAATGCTCTGTGCCATGATCCACCACCACTTCCCCAGCCTGACACCAGGATACAGCAAATAACCAAGCCCTCTCTCCTCAACGAAAGCTCCAGACCTGTACCTATCAGGAATCTGCAGTGGCAGCATAAAATAGTATAAAAAAAACCCCAAACCCCAGTGATTTGTAGACATGTTCAGATTCCCAGGGGAAATAGAGGGTCTTTTTCAATGAAGTTAGATGAACTGGGGATTTTATAACATCAGGAAAATAAAAAATACCGTATACACGGAAGCCTATGGACAACTGCATGTTAATGTAGGTATAATAACTATAACGGGACACGTTTGCCATCTTCAGGGGTTGAGCAGGTACTGCACACAAATGTTCAAAAAAACAGTGAGAAGCAACAACTGATGTAAGGACATAGGAATTACTGGGTTCTCACACAGCCTTGGGCTGCAGCCAAGCTGGACAGGGGCACGGACAGGCTCTTAGTTGTGTGCATCTCTTTTACAGCACCGTGAGTCCTGGTCTTTGCTGGCAGCCCTGTTGCTGTTAGAAAAAGAATAAAAAGAAGTAATGGTAGTAAGAGAGTTTGAATGGCAGCAAGTTAGACTGCTGAGGATTAAAAGAGCCCTCCCCCTTGCTTATCAGTGAGTTGCTTGAAGGAAAAAAATGCTTAATTCAAGGCCCGTGTGGATTTGATGGGGGCACCAGGTTGTGCTTTTGCCTTTGCCCTATTCTTCCCTGACATAAGGAACCAAACCCTACAGGGACAATCATAAAGGATTAAAAAAGAAAAATAGCCTTAAATATCTTGGCATAAAGAACACCAGAGTCTGAGAACATATTGCCACTTTTTTTAATCCAGCTATTCCATAAAAGTTGGCTATATATGAGATGGTTTGAAAAAATGATGATGAAGCAAAAGTCAATAGACAGAGAGAGAGGGTCTTGGCTTGAGGGTTTTTGGTTTTGTTTTTGTCTTTTTTTTTTTAACAGAAGTTCAGGAGTCCAAGGGGAAGCACTTAAGATGCCTACAGAGGAAACAGGATTTTCAAACTCATCCCCTGCACCAGATTCTCCACTGGTGTAAATCAGGGCAGTGCCATTAACTTCAGCAGACTGAGGCCAGCTGACCTTCCATCAGCCACTGATCAAGAGTAATGATCCTCCAACACGCCAGCACACCTTCCTTGCAATTTGAAAAAGTGTCTGGTGTCCTAAGAGCTAAACTGCACAAGAGCAAGTCCCTGCACGCTATTACTGCAAAGCGCTGAGCTCCTGAGAATTAAGAAAAACCCTAAATAAAGGGAGAAACCATGGCAAATTGAATTAAGCAGAAAGGCCTGTTTTGCTTTACGTCAGTGTGTACTAAGAAGTGGTCAAAGGATGTGAGGGATGGGAGAGGTCTCCAATCAACCCACCAAAGCAAACACTCACACTTTGGAATGTGGCTGAATTCACCCTCATCTGTGATGAGAAGTGGCATTTCTGAATTGTTTACAGTACACGCTGATGTGAGTTCAAGTTCCAAAACTGTACCCCACCCATACCAAACAGAGAGACTGACAAAGAGAAGCATGCCACAGTGCAGACGTGGCAGATAAAAACAACACCAAACAAAGCCATCACAAAGTCCCTTTGGTTTCACGACACATAAAAAATTTGAATTGGCCATTGCCTTTTACTAGACTACAGACAATGCACAGAAAAGAGGGCAAATGAGCACCTGGACACATAGAAGAGGCCAGTGAACTGTAATTTGCCCACATACCTTGCTACCACATGCCAGGAGTATCACAGAGACACTCACACATGCAGATAAATAGCTGGAGGTGTTTATTAAAAGAACATTTTGTCCTTGATTTAAACACAATAAGTCCACTCAGCATAGCAATGGGGGTGGAGAGCCTTGTTCACAGGGTGCAACTACAGCCGCAGCCTCACTGGCTCTGGGGAAATGCATAAGGCCAGCCTTGTTCTAAAGAATTTGTTTTTTTTTTCCACTCGTGTGAACACTTTGCCCAAGGGTAGGAGGAAAAGCCGGGGCTTAGGGGTGGAGAGGAGCTGCTGGTAGCTCCGAGAGTCAAAGCCAGATAGAAGACGCACCTAACGCAAATATCACCACCACAGACCAACCCCTCCCTTGGTCCAGCGAGCAGCCTTGCTTAGGTGCCTTCACAAGGTAACATTCTGGGCATGCCCAATTGCTGCTTCCCATGATATATAAACTGTCCCACGAGGAAACAACCCATATTCAGCACGAGAGAGGCTATCCCAAAATGAAGGCTTTCCTTGTTCTCCTGCTGGGAGCAGTCCTGTGCTTGGACTCAGGTAAGACAGCATGGAGAGTTTGCCCCGCATCCCCTCCAGCAGATCTTCAGCTAGGAGAAAAGACTTGTGATGGGGTTTGGCAGTGAGGGGAGAAATGCTGATGCATTTGTGGTATGAAGACATTTGCTTTTTGATGTGATGTCCTGGGTGTTGCATTGAAAAAAAATGCATAGTCCCAACCTGCTGATGGTGTGATCCTAGCGCTGGGTAGAGCAGTTTCCAGGAAAGATAAAACCTACACAAAACTGAACTTCGTTGATATTGAAGTTATTTAAGCCAGACCATACAGTTATGTATGTGTGTGGTATTTTTTTAAGTGTGGTGGGAAGATTATTTCTCTTCTTCCCAGGCTATCAAAACTGCAACATTTCTGCAAAGGTAAGTTTTGTTCCAACTTGTTTTCTGACTCTCCATTTCAAAAGTGGCCTCTGATGCTGCACAGATTGTCAGAATTTCAATAACAATTTCAAACGAGCTTTTCCCTATTACCAGAGAGCAGAAGAAGAAGATCTGAGCAGAAATGTTTCTCAATCAGCAGAGGATGCTTGAGGAATAGGCTGGGAAGGGTCTTGTACAGTCCTGTCCAGATCCTCTCTTCTTCCAGCTTCCATCGGGGTGCTCTGAAATTTTACTTTCATTATATAAAAAGTCAGATAAATGTGAGAGCAGAGTGCAGCACTACAAACAAACTGGAGTTTGGCTCCTTGCCTCCATGACTGCATCTATCATTTATACCGGAACAGCTTGTACAGAGGGAGACCAAGTGCTTTAAATCGCTTTTTGCTTCTGTGCTGAATAACACTAGTTTCTAAATATGGCCTTTCTGTGAAGTAAAAGAGTTTTTTAGCCATTAGGGTATTGACTTGGGAGAGTCATGATACAAGCCTGGTGGTCATGGGGTTAAAGTACATATATATATACATTAACTCGCACACTTGCAAGCCTGTGAGGCTCCAGTGATGCCCTGGGGCACGGCTAGGTAATAGGAACAGGTAATTGCACCATGCTCTCACTCCTCTGGGACTATTTTTCATCAGGGCTAGACACCTGTAAGCTGCAATGCTTATTCTGCCTTTGCTCAATGTACAGCAGATGTAACTGTAGATGTTAACAGCACAGTAGATGTTAACAACACTGACTTGCATCCCCCATAGACTGGCATGTCCATGAGGGGGTGGAAACACGTGGTGACCTCGTTCTCGAGAGGGAGGCGAAAGATGTGTTTGCACTTTGCTTTCTAAGAGAGGGTGTCACAAGTTGGTCAAACTGAGACAACAGGCTAGAAGAGACCTTGCAAATTGTCTGCTCCATCCTTCCCTCACCCTTTCTTCCCTCTGGGCTTTCCCTCTTTCATCCAACCGTGGCAATGCCATGCTCACAAGCCCACCTGGTAAAACACTAATGTCTATAGAGGCAGACAAATAATATCGACCTCTCCTTCTGGGGACTTCATCCCTTCATCCCAGCTCAGGAGGTGGGAATATCACAAAAAGCCTGTTTCAGACAGGAACTGAGTTAGGCATCCCAAATGTAGAGGAAATAGCATTTGTGAAGCACTTCTCATTGACTGATAAGACCAGTCAATGGGACCAGCTACCCAGCTGGTCTCTTTTTGCTCCCTCACTGCTCTGACTAGATCTGAAACAGCTTCAGCACCTGCAAAACCTGGCTCTCACCCCAAGTGACTGTACTATGCTCCACCAAAACTGGAAAAAACATTGTTTTCCCAGTAACAGACGTGCTATCGTTCTTTGAGGACCCACAGGAATGGCCCTGTTTCCCAGTGCAAGCACTAAGTTCGCTTCCCTAGAGAGCTTCAGATGGATTTGTCTTATAACCCCTCTTGGTCTTTTGCAGGTTCTTCTTTGCAGTGTTACAGCTGCACGTCACAGCTCAGCAACTCCAACTGTAAGACGAAAGTGGACTGCAAGGATAAGGAAACATGCAAGACGGATGTGATCAGTAAGGCAAAATGGGGGGTGGGCAATGTCTTACTTGTGGTGTTAGAGCCAAGCATGGTCCCAGCCTCAGGTGTCCAAGCCAGACCCACCTACTCTAGATACACCAGCTGGTGGGGGCCAGCAAAGCTCAGTGTGCAGCAGGAAGTGAAAAACCATCTGGGGAGAAAAGATGATAAGAAAGCTTTCAGATTACTTTCAAGTTAAGTAGAAAAGACAGACGAAAAATGTTTATCCCTTGGTGATAACTGGTCCCTTGGTAGTGGTGCTGACCATCACCAAGTCCTCTCCCCACACTGGCCACAAGAGTGTGATTACAAAGTCATATGAGTATGTGCATGTTGTACGCCATAAATTCCTCAGTGTTTGCCAATAGATCGTGCTAAAAACTGAGCAGTGTGACCAGTACAGTGCCTGGAACAAATCTCAGAGGGTGCAGCTGCACTTGACATTGCAAACACCGACCAATGTCTCTCACCTGTACAAAATTGGGTTTATTTCTCTTTTGTAACACCAAAAATCATTTGCTTACAAGGACTATAGTTAAGTTTACAGCTTTGAAAATTTTGGAACATGGATTAAAATGTGAGGGTCTGAGTCTGGTGAAACCTAGTCATGAAGTTAGGAGCAGCATTCAATGAGAGAGCTGGCTTTAGGTGAAATCAATGAAAAGGATAGAATTTCACCTATGCCCATCTACAGCCAGCTCTGAATGCAGCAATCTGTGTGTCTCTGGGTAAACTCCCTTAACAGATTATGATTTAATTCTGCCATTCTAGATCTGGGAAAAAAAATGTTTACCCTGCCTAGATCTGTGGTAACAGCTCAGTTGCTCTTAGACTTATGGCACAAAACCCATCAGTGGCATGTTCAAACTCATCCCTGTCAGACAGCAAAGGTAATACCTCCAGTAGGCATTGTCCTTGTTGGAATTGTGCAAACCCATGGCCAAGCACTCACATGCAGGAGAGACAACACCTTGTAAAACCCACTGGCTCTGTACACTAAATTTGCATATGTCAAAGACTTGGTGTCCAGAATAAATTGTTCAAGATTAGCAGATCTCATGCAGGCTGTAATCTGCTGGTAACCAGCAGTTACTGAGTATCAGCTGACCACAGAAAAATAGGTTGTGCCTCTCAAAAACACATCAAATAATAACTCTGTCATCTGTGAAATGGGGATCACTGCATTTCCATTACTCCCCTGGGAGTTGAAAGGCTCGTGCAACAAAGATATGTGGGACATGAGCAAAGATTACCCCACATACTTGCTCCTCATCCATTAGTAATTTAGACTCCCCAACAGAGGTGTTAATGGCTACTTTCATTATTAATTAATTCTTTACAATTTCTGTAGTCGGTGCTGTTTTAGAAACCCCTGAGAATTGTGCTGTGGAATACACTGCCTTAAGCAAACCCTTGGGGATTGAAACCCTTCCCCCCTGCTGACAAACTGATGCACCCAAAATACAACCTGCCAGAGTAAAACATGCAGCTGTTTGGAAACACTTTTTTTTCCAAGAAGTGAGCTCAGATAATAACAGCATCTCATTCTTCAGTTCCATGAGGCTTGGCTTGGCTTCCATTTAGTCCTTGTAGTAACGGTCCTGCTTTCCTTCCAGGGGTCATAGGGTTCTTCAACATCATCAGCAAGGGCTGTGACTCGTCATGCCAACCAGACTATCAAAACTTCAGTGTGGGCAACAGGAATATCTCCTGCTGCAGCAGTGACCTCTGCAATGTCAACGCAGCGGGCAGTGTGAGGTACAGCTATGGGATGGCAGCAGGGATAGCAGCCAGCGTGCTCTGGCCCTTCCTGCACAACAGATTGTGAGGAGCAAAGAGGACTACCATGACCACAGAAAGTTTTGGAGCACCCCTCATAACAGGAATTGTAACCAGGAGCAAGGTGGTGTGTTGGGCACACAGCACCCTTGGAGCTGATGGCAGATCTTTGCCGTATGATAGCTTCTTCATTACTGTTATTGTATGGCTGTAGTGCTACCAGATAAGAAAATATGTGTGAATGCTATCTGTATAACACCTAAAATACACTTCTTTCTGAATCAAGTGTGAGTTTGTTACCTGTATATCACTTAGTCATGCATTTCTGCACCCAGCAGTAACTTGCAGGTGGATGTACGGCATGTCTGCCCAACATTCAGTCTTGGTCATCAATGTGTAATGATGATATGTGCCATGGCAGAGCAGAACAGAGGTGTCATCTATACCTCCAAAGCTTGAAGGGCACTGGTTTATGACAAACCCTGGCAGGTACATATCCCAAGAAAACCCATGAAGTACAATCATATCTGAAGAGGAACTTGCCCGTGACCTAGAGACCCTAGAGACTTTGTTAGCTGTACAAGACAAGAGCAATGCTCACCTTCCCTGCTACATGTACATAGACCTGCTCGGATCCTTGGGATGGTGGGCAGGACTGCACATTCAGGTACCTGGAGCACCATGGTGGGCAATAACCATTGGAGTGAAGTGGAAAGGGTGTCCCCATGGTGTCCAGTTCAATCAATGCAGTTCTGGGACTGCCAGTCTCCATCCTGGCCATAACAGCATCCCCTGAAAGTTCCCATCGTCCACAGGCAGGTTCTCAAACTTTCTTCACCAAGTTCCTCTTTGATCCATTCCCCATGCCATAGCCTGGGACACAGGCCCTGTCACAAGACCATGAAAGTGTTTAACTTTAAAGGTCCTGTGGGGTTGCCTAGCAGAGCAGGGAGAGTGGAGAAAGTAAACATCAGAGATCACATTTTCCTCTCTGGCTACCTTGATCATGGAGGTGAGCACACACATGTGGGCACACACCCACTTCCACCCCCACATGAGATACGGTCAGTGAGAGATGGGAAGGTGGCAAGTGTAGGGGAAAGATGAAGGAAAACAAGAGCAGAGGAGCTAGGGAAAGGCACAGGGCTGACTCCTCTCCTCATGAGGTGCTCTCAAGACAGAACTAGGAGGGCAGATGAGTAGGGTGAGACTGGTGCTGCCTGAAGATTTGTTGTGATCATGAAGACACCCACAGAGTTTTTTATACCCTTCCTTGTAAGAGGAATTTCCCTTCTTCACCCACTGATCTTTCCCCCTTCCTGGGACTCCCTGCCGACACCAGAGTGGCTTTCTCCACTTGTCACATGTAGAATCACAGAATCATTAAGGTTGGAAAAGACCTTCAAGATCATCAAGTCCAACCGTTAACCTAGCACTGCCAAGTCCACCCCTAAACCATGTCCCTAAGCACCACATCTACACGTCTTTTAAATATCTCCAGGGATGGTGACTCCACCATCTCCCTGGGCAGCCTGTGCCAATGTTTGACCACTCTCTCAGTGAAGAAATTTTTCCTAATATCTCATCTAAACCTCTCCTGGTGCAACTTGAGGCCATTTCCTCTCGTCCTGTCACTGGTTACTTGGGAGAAGAGATCAACACCCACCTCGCCACAACCCCCTTTCAGGTAGTTGTAGAGAGCGATGAGGTATCCCCTCAGCCTCCTCTTCTCCAGACTGAACAACCCCAGTTCCCTCAGTCGCTCCTCATAAGACTTGTGCTCTAGAGCCTTCACCAGCTTCGTTGCCCTTCTCTGGACACGCTTGAGCAACTCAATGTCCTTCTTGTTGTGAGTTCACATCTGATGAAGGAGCAGCTTAGTGCAACCTCTGGCACTGATACAATCATCATGTTTTGCCCATCTTTCCTGGTGTAATGAATGTGGCAAGCATGCAATTTCAGGTATGTGGAAAACTGTTTCAAGTCCTCTCTGTTGCTGATACCAACGAGGTGTCTGCATGTAAGGCAGACTCTATAGTTTTAATATCTCTCCTATACAGTTATAGCCCCTCTATATAGTTATAAATTCTAAATTATATAGTTTTGCTTTCTCCAGATCATTTATTTTATGGATATAAACCTGAGTGTTCCCACCTTGCACTGGGACATCCTGTGCAGTATTTGGCAAAGGTGGCAGAGAAAGCACCATAGAAAGCTGCCTGAAAGGAACTCTCAAATAAGACCTCCAAAGCAACACATATGTGAAAAGATCTGAAAAACAAGGTAGAAAACATTCTGGAGAAGGCCGCTGTGTCACATGTGCCTCCTCCTGATACACAACAGAAGAAGACAAGGCTGGTATCAGAAGACCTGGGAGAACCTTGGGTGGGAGCAACAAGACATGGTTGGACCCATGAAGTCAAGGAGTTGTGAAGACAGAACAGCAGTGGTTGGAGGACTAAAAGGGGAAGGAAATCGGCCAAGAGCCCCATTTTCCTCTCTCATAGCCTAAGAAATATTGGAGCTGCAAAGAGCTGTGCAGAGCCACAGGCTGAAATAACAAAGAAGCATTTACCCATCGGAAATGTGTCATCATCATTTCTTCTCCCAAGTAACTAGTGATAGGACAAGAGGAAATGGCTTCAAGTTGCGCCAGGGGAGGTTTAGATTGGATATTAGGAAAAATTTCTTCACTGAGAGGGTGGTCAGGCATTGGAACAGGCTGCCCAGGGAGGTGGTGGAGTCACCATCTCTGGAAGTGTTCAAGAAACGTGTGGATGTGGCGCTTCAGGACATGGTCTAGGGGACATGGTGGTGCTGGATTAATGGTTGGACTTGATGATCTTGAAGGTCCTTTCCAACCTAGTGTTTCTGTGATTCTGTGATTCTGTGATCTGGGGGACCCATAGATATGGGACAAGGGCAAGCATCAAATATTGGATGAAGTCAATGGGATGCCAGAAGATAATGACACTGTCTGCTATTGTGAAAGAGAAAAGTACCTAATTCCTCGGGGTGCAAGGCATTAACAAGCTGCTAATTGTAGGAAGCAGGGAAGGGTTTCCCCCAAAGGCAAATCCAGAGTGAACAACCTTCCTTATATGAGTCAAGTCTGGTTATTGGCAGGGGGAGGATATGGGACATGTGGGGTGATTTATTCTGGCTTTTGCAAACCTCTCCTGAGTCTTAATCACTGAAAAAGGGGCTCATCCAGACATAGATCTCCCAGCCAGGCTATTTTCTGCATGGGTGACCAGCTGCATGACCTCTCCAGCCCAGGGCCTCATCTTCTTACAGTGCAAGAAGGTTCCTGACACTCCTGCCCGGTGCCCACCTTCTGAAACAATTCCCAGGCAGTCAGTCATGTTGACATCCAGTGGTCTTTCTCAACAGGCCATTTGGCTACCGTGGCCCTGTCTCAAGACTGGGAGTTTAGCTTTACAGAAATAGCCAAAACATGTCAGCTGGCTCCAGAGCCAGAGGAGTCCCCAGGGACGTCGGGTGAGACATAGCCTCTTCCAGCTGCTGGAGAGGTCAAACACATTTAGCCCTGAAAATGAGAGGTGTCAAAAGCCTTTACCATGAATGGGGGCTCCAGTTTACCTGTGTCACAACATATTTGTCCCCTGTGGCTATATTGCCTACTTGCCAGAGCACAGCATTTAGAAGTTTCTTGCTGGAGCCAAGATGGGACTTTCCCTTGCTTTGATGTTTGAGACCTGATGTCTGGACCCTACAGGCTGAGGGGACAATTCCTTCTCTCAGTTTTCTCTCTCTACATGTTCTGGAAGGAGTCCACAAATGATCGCTGAGTGATTTTCCCCTGGATATATCTGTGGATATATCTGGAGTTTTTGCAAAACAGTGCTGCGGGGGTGATTAGATAGTTAGGAGAAGGTGCAACTGGGAGAGGTCATGACTGGGATAGACACAGTAAAGAGCAGGGTAAGAAGCCTCTGTGGACACAACCCAGGCAGGTGAAACTCGCTGCTGCTTGAGGGGTCCCTGGCATGGCACTTGCAATAGCACGAGACTGCACTCCCCATTCAGGTCAAAAACAGAGCGCCTCAAAAACAACCCTCTAAATTCTGGAGAGGGTGAGGAGGTGGCAAACTGGGGCAGATAAATGACTCAGCCATGGGTCAGAACCTGGGCTGGGTCAAGGGCAGGACCAGGAAGAGGTCTGTTTTCCCAGGTGCTGTGACTGCACGTTGACAAAAAGGCTGGCCTCCCCTCCTGCCTTGTAAACCCCTAACAAATGCAAAGAGGACTCAGTCCCTCCTGCTCTGATCCGCACCCTCTGTCAGCAGCATGCTCGGTCAGTACAGATGATCTGGCGTCACTCAACTATGGAAGCCCCGGCTGAAGGTCAATTTATTCTCCAGGTGCTGAAAAAAAAGGGCCAAAAGCTGTTTTCTGGGTGACACACAAGCACATTTATTTGAAAAACAAGGCTATTTTTTTGCCCAAGCAAGTTGTTTCTTGACATTGCTGGCTGAGCAGTTTTATCAGTTCTTCTCCTATCTTTTCCACGCTTACCAAGAGGCCTAAAATTGAGGACGGTCTCTTTAAACAACTCAATCCATCATGTATGCAAGAGATTTCTATTCCTCCAGGATCAAACTGCAGTTCATTTATTTAAATAATAAATAGCCAGACAATAACATGGATGGTTTCTTTTTTTCAAGGGCAGCAGCTGCCGTTTTCCAAAGGCTGCAGTTGCGTTATGGACTGAATGTAAACATACAATTCTCCAGTGAGGTTACCTCTTACAGATGGGAAAAGTAAAACAACTCTGATCCAGAGTAACTGATTTTTACGGTAGGCAATGTTACAGAGATACATTCAGAGTAAAAGAAAAGTGCTGCTCGTATTACTGCTATGATGTTGTATTTGCTACTGGTAGTATTAGCTAGTATTCATTATCTGTGTGGATAGGGATTAGGGCACACAATATTTCCTATGGCCCAGTAATAGTTACACCCAGTGTCTGTACCTGGTCTGAAAATGTCACCAAGGTTCCCTGAATTCAACCCAGTTTGTGGCAGC